ACGTTGAAACGTATTCTGCGAAACGGGTATGCAGGACTGTACGATACGGATATCGGTTTCTATTAGGAGCAAATGCCAAAACCGATATTCGTTTTGTAAGCTACGGATTTTTTTTAGAGAGTAGGGTGGGTGGGTATGAGAGTGAGTCACCAGACCACGTTCAATGTCCAGCTGCCAAGCCTCTGAGACTATTGATGGTTTTTTTCCTAGAGACATAGTGAAATGGTGACGTGAAGACGCAGAAATTGTCTACGTCTCTACGTGTTTACGCTTTTGCTTCTCTAATAAAGAAGTGAAGCGAAAAATCTGTCGAATTTCTAGTCTGTTTGAAAGCTTTCGTTCGAAATTCGACAGGCTTTGGACACTGCCGAACTTCGAGCGAAAAATCCGACAATGTCGAAAACTGACTGTCAGTAAAAGTAGAACTGTCGAACGGTGCCAAATTCGTATAACATCTCTAATTTAAAACAGGGCAACGCTAGAGTCATGCAGTTTACGACTTTTTGACAACCTGTTTAGATGCCTAAACGTCACCTTTGTTCCATATCGTTATTGTTTTTTGTCCAAACACTGTCTGAAAGGTAAGCTTATACAAAATAAAGCCCATTTTACCTGAATATAGAAATGAGTCGGTTGAGTCCTTTATTCTTTAACGCAATCTTTGGAAAACAGCTTTCTGAATAAGGAAACCCTCTTAAGAGTAGACCACAACTCCACTTTAGGCTCTCGATGCTGCGAAGGTTCTATTATTGTTATGCAGTTGCCATCTATTTTTAGCAAACGGAAATTTTTTCTCTGTACTTCCTTTTTTGGTTATGCTGTTTTTCAGTTTAAACTAGAGAACCTCAGGCTGAACTTCATCTTCAATCGATAAAATTCCACTCGGTCCACACTTATTACTCAAAGTGTTGACTATTTTAATGTGATCGTTCAAAATCGTTTCTTTTCGTTCAGGCTAAAAATAGGTTATCAATGGCGTAACCTACAACCTAACCTACAGGTTAGGTTTAGCCTGTAGGGCTTTAGACAGCGCGAGGACGTGCTGATTGCTGGGAGGGGGATGGACGTGACGGTTAGAGATGTCGATCAGGTGACTCAATGGTTAGAGCATAGACACGGAATGTCAAGGACACATGTCAGTCACACACTTTTCCTTTACATTTACCTGTTTTTATCGTGATCAGCTTGACAAATATTATCCCACAAACAGACCATGGTAAGATCAAGAAAATAGTTTCTTAGTCGGATTTATTTCCAGAAAAGAAACAGAACTCTTACACTTTAGCGGGATGCGTACGAATCGAGATCTAGAAATTATGAAATCTGAACATTCTACAAAGATGTTTTGCTTTTAAACGGACAACATGACTATTGTTTATTTAGATGTGAACGTTATTGGATACGATGGTGAAACGCCGTTGCATATGATTTCTCGTCATGAAAAACCTTCGGCAGATAAAAAAGCGCTTAATGGACCCTCTAAACGATCAAGTCTTGCAACTCACACGCCTTTTCAAAATGTAGTATGTACAGTTGACGATTCGCCATGGTTTTAATAAGACTAATATGTTTGTTTTCCATAACAGGAGCTCGATAATACGAATCAAATGGGTGTTATAGAATATTTATACACTAAAGGAGCAAAATTACATCAACGAGATGAAGAGGGCAGAACAAGTTTGCACCATGCTGTTATGAGACGATCGTGTCTTGAAAATGCAAAACAATTGATTACGTTAATAAAAGAACATGAACGTAGAAATGATGTGATGGCAAGTGGAAAAAAGAAAAAGATATTAAATGAACAAGAAGAATCGTTAATTAATGTAAGTCAAAAGATCAGTAAAAAGACGCAGCTAGTTTCGTGTCTGAGAGTGTTTATGTGAGTAAAGGTTGTACTATGAAAACACGAACAGAAAAGGGTGGGGAAAGTATGCGATTGAACTTCAAAAAAGTGATCAATTTTAAACTAAAAGACTTTATAGGAAACAAATATGATCCATTAAAACTTTTTCATGTTAGAACTTATCATACGACGACTGACTTTATATAGTAGAACAGAATAATGTTTGTAATATCTATCATATAAGAGTATGTGAGTAGGATTTTCTTTACGAAACCACTATATCGATGTCGAAACATAATGGCTGTGAATATTTCTGGAATAAGTTTTGAACGAAAAGAGCTAGAGAATTCTGACTTTAAGCATTTTGTAGTGGAAACTTTACCTTCTCGTCTATTGGAGCCTGAAATACTCGGATGTTTAGATCGTGGACCTGATGAATCTTTATACCATAAACTTCCTCCCTGTTTTCAAATACTCTCACTCACATTTCTGAGTAGTATAAACATAGGACTATCACTGGTTTGGCGATAGCAAGAATGTTTATTTTTTGAGATAAGTTTATCTGGAGCCAGCAGATTTTGGAGAAGAATTCTAAAGATTTGTCTACTTTCCAGCCATCAAACTTCAAAATAAATGTTAGATTCGAAGAAAAAAAACATCAGAATTATTAAATATGCGTCAGATCTTCATACAAGTAAAAAAAGTCGAATTCGAAAAAAAATCTGTATTCGACACTAAAATGCCTTGAAACTGGACCTTAGCTAACTTTAGCGATCAGATTATGCTGACGACAGCCACAAACATTTTTGGGCCATTAGATAGCCTATCTATCGAAGTGTATTTGACACTATTTAAACTTTGAAAATGCGTATCGTCGGCTTTTTGGCAAATGACCGTGTGGATGCCCACTGTGAGACGATATTTTACCTACAAATAAGTTTCAGTGGCTTTCATATAGTCTCAGACGGTCACTGAACACAATATACAATCAAAAATTACATTTTTCAGAAGAACAAAATTTTATGAAATCGTAGTGAGTCAAAAGTTGTTGATGTTTTTTTATTCGGATAATCCTTGTCAAACATGTCATTCGGTGCAGTTTTGGATGCAGATTTGAATCTAACATTTATTTTGAAATTTAAAGCTGAAAAGTAGACAAATCTTTAGAATTCTTCTGCAAAATCTGTCGGTCCCAAATATCTCAAAAAATAAACATTTTTACTATCACCAAATTTTTTACCAGTGATAATCCTATGTTTATACTACTCAAAAATATGAGTGAGAGTACTTGATAGTAAGGAGGGAGTTTATGGTAAAGGCTCAGAGTTGGTGAACTGAGTATTTCTGCAGAAATACTCTCCAGGCTTTGTTCACTACTAAATGCTCTAAAGAGACAGAAACTCAGTTTCTTTCGTCATCTTTATAGCTAAAAAAGTTTACTTCATCGTTTTATAATTATACACTTAAAAATTAATAAGTTACTGTCGAAAAGAAGTTTTAAGTGGTGCAAAAAATTCGTGAAATTTATTTGAAGTTCACAGACCTTATTAGTGCTCTTTTGGGTTAAAAGATGTCGATGGGAAATACATATAAGTTGTGATGAATCAAGAGAAAGAAATTGTAAGCAATAATTCTGTATTATACACGTGAGCCATACTATCTCGATCACTCAGCTTAGAAAATACTTGAGTTCATTTCAGCCGTATTACAATTTAAAGAATCCGGCTTAGTGATTTGCATAAAACTCTTGTGTTACACTCATTTAGAACATATATGTACTTTACTAATAGGCACGAGATGCTCAAAATGGAACACCGCTTCATTTCGTATGCCGTTTTGTTGATACTGATGCACAAGATAATGTCTCAGAAAATATCGTACAATTACTTATTGATAGTAGAGCACAGGTGGATGCTGTAGATAAAAATTATTGTACCCCGTTACATTATTGTTCTCGTCGACAATTTGGAGTTGCAAATGTGATAACGTTGCTAAACGTTGCTGCACAAAAAGAACAACAACTAAATAATTCAATAAATATGAAATCAGCAACAGTTCAAGAATATATTGAAATGCAAGATAAAAATAACAATACCGCATTATGTTTAGCAGCTGAACATGGTTGTGAAGAAACTGTTAAAATTCTATTGAAGAACAAAGCTCAACGTAACGCACGAGGAAAAGAATTTTATCAACCAATACATTTAGCAGCAAAATCCGGTAATGTCAGAGTATTAGACATTTTATTAGATGATGCATCAATGAATGTTCAGAAGTTACCAGTAACATCAAATAAAGAAACACCATTACATGTTGCGTGTCAATATAATCGTACGGGTGCTGTACAATATTTAATACAATCACTTACACAGAATAAAACAAGCATTACAGATCATATTGAACACGCTGACAATAAAGATTATACGCCTCTGTTAACAGCTGCCTATTATGATCATATTGATTGTGTTAAAGCATTAGTTAAAAATGGTGCTATTATGACCGATGTTAAGGATGATGAAGAAAGAAATATATGTAAGTATTCTTGAAAATTTACCAAATGTCTTTTATGTTGAAGCTCTTACACCAGTAACCCTGAAAGCTACTCTTCGTTCAGAGATGATTGTGGAGACCTCATTTTTTACATTGATTGTAAAAAGGATATTTCAAAATCGCCAAATTCGACCATTGGAATAACTCATACACTCTAAAACCAGTGTACTCAATACTGCTGTTTTCAGGAACTGCTTTTCCGCTGAATACTTTTCAGAAAGATTGCTTTTAAAATGAGGAGCAAAGGAACATTTTTAAAACAGTAGAATACTTTTGAAAAAAGGTCACTTCTGGAAAAAGCGAGTTGAAAGTCTAAAAGTATTCCAAAAAAGAATACTTTTTGAAAGTATTCCTCAATGTAACACACAGTGGGCAATCACATGGAAATTAGGTGAAAAAGCGAAAGTGAGTTTTTCGAAAATTCAGATAATATCTAACACACATTAACCAATCCCCGATTTATTGGTGAAAAAATTTTGTATTTCCGTAGACTAGGTGTTTTCCCACTACAAATGCGTAGTATAGCGGGTGCGCCATCGTTCGCCAAGCTCTGTTCGAGCTGAAACTTTCAGAAAATATTCTTCTGTATGTGGTGCGTCTGTATAATTAGCAGAAAGTTACAGAAATGTTTCTTTGCGGAGTTACAGATTTTACAAAAACCGCACGTTTTTCGCTGTTTTTTTTGCTTAAAAGTCACTTTTCCCCAGAAATAAGGACAGATTCGAAATCAGCGTGAAAAACTGCATCGAATAATATATAATTCAAAACATTTTTCTACAGAAAAGTTTTCAATCACACTGAACCGTTGTGTAGAAGCACTACTGTAGAAACTTTTCACGCTGCATGTGGACATATGCTGTAGAAGTGATAGATAAGTCTATAAACCAAGGGGGAAACAGCTGATTTTTGAGCTTGAAAAATCAGTTTAAATCGAAAATCGGTTAAAATCGCAAAAAATCATTAAAAGTCGGTTAAAATCCTAAAAAATCCTTAAAAATCGATTAAAATCGCAAAAAATCATTAAAAATCGCTAAATATTGTTAAAAGTCCTTAAAAATCGCTCATTATTTTATTTTTTTTTTCTTTACTTTCACTATGTCTAATTACTATTTTATACAAATAAAGGAGGTTCTGCACTATTGATCGCAGTCTTTTTACTTGATTTCTCAAACAAATCATAAGAAATCGGAAAAAATCGCTGAAAATCCGTGAAAATCAGTGAAAATCAACGAAAATCAGTGAAAATCTACGAAAATCAATGAAAATCGATGAAAATCAGTGAAAATCGGATAAATCCCAAAATCAGCTGTTTCCCCCTTGCTATAAACACACTTTGTGTAGGTTTTCAAATATGCTCTTTCCAATGGTGAGATTTTCGAAATCCTGAAATAATTTTTTGCGGGTTTTCTGAAGGTCGAATCTCTAAGAAAACTCAGAAAAATTTATTTTAAGATTTCGAAAATCTCACCATTGGAAAGAGCATAATCGAAAACCTATAAAAACTGTGTTTATAGACTTATCTACCACTTCTACAGCATATGTCCACGTGCCTGGTCAAAACTGCCCACTGTGTAACATCTTGAAAGCGATTAAAAAGAACGCGTGAAAAATGGGAACCATTCTTTTCAGCTACATATTTTTTTTTATAATGTATGGACAGAGTTATGGGGTATGTTAACTAATATTATCTTGTCCTATCTCTATTTCAGTTCTAAGTAATTAACTTTCTAACAACTAATAATGATACGATGAGAAATAAACTCCTTATATACAGTTTTAAAAGCACTAGAGAATAATCCAAAGCGAGTAGTATCCGATACTGAGAGAACCCAGAAGAAGAATGCTTTCGACATTTCTCAAACGTACGAGAGAGTACGACGATTTTTGTGAGAAAGATAAGAGTGCATATGTGTATAACAACAGCTGTAGATAACAATTAAGATTAAACGAGCTATAATTTTGAGTAATACCGACGCAACTTCAGTCGTTGTCTAGTATATAGAAGAGAAAGAATGAGTTTACCTTTGCAAAAGTAAATTTATTTGATTCTTTTGTTTTATCTGGTCAAAAATTAGTTGTATATATCTTCTAGATGATGTTACAATACTTTCTGTACAACAACTGTACTTATGGAAGGATTTAGAACCATTACATAACACACATACGTAGCACATGTGTCGGCACATGCCACTGGACGCATTTATATACTATGATGTGACTTCGACATGTCTGTTTTTGTACAGAGCAGACAGACATGTAATTTTTGCTGTCGGGAGCCTTCTCTTTTTGCATAAAAATAGGAACGCCCAGAACCTCATATCAATCAAAAATACACAAATTTGAAAAAAGTTTTTTTTTACCAAAACTATCGAAGGTCCGTCTTTGCCTGAAACTGAGACACCTGACAGGTATGACCAGACTTGCTAGATGCCTCAGTTGGAAGAGCAACATTCTTTCTTCAATATACTATGTCTTACAGGTTAACTCGACAAATATGTATTTCAAAACTATCATGTAGATACCTTTTTGAGCCCTGATGTGTACTTTTTTTGACCATTTCGACTGGTATGTTTCATAATAGTAGGTTGTATATGAAGTTGCAAAAAGCGGCGACTTTTTTATGCTATCTTTTGCGAAGTATTCATCAAGCTTTTATTGAGTTATAGATATCTTATTTTTTGACACCGTGGTGAGGCCAAAAATACTACGAAAAAATGTAAATAAATGAAAACTAAGCTGTTAACAGAGAAAATAATGTAGTTTATCTAATTAACTATATTACAACTTGGAAGAGTATGAAGTAAATTAGTCGACGCTTAAAATTGTTATAGGGGCAGAAAAAAGTGAATTTCAGTAGAGTTTACAAAAATCAGTCAGTTCTCAGCTCTATTACTTTTTGAGGATGAGTATTTGTTGAGTTTTTTTTTTAAAGAAAGTTGCTGAGAAATTAAATTTTTTTTAAGGTACCAGGAATTCAAAGTTCGAACAAGTTTTTATTTTTTAATTTTTTGTACATGGCTGGACAGAACGCATCGAACTGATTGAGAATATGTGTATTGTAACGTTTAAAAAAGTTCTTTTAAGGCAGAAAATTTCAGAATACTCAGATAGACTAAAATCGTTAAAAACCCATTTGAATAAAGTAAGAAAATTTTTGCTTTCTTTTTTACAGTTTTGAAACTGATTTTTTCTGACTGAACATCAAAAACTATGTATAAAAATCATATTTGAACGATCATGGAGTTAAAAGTGGGTTGAGCATGGTTGAACGGGGTGATCCTTTCCAAAAGATCGTGGGACAGCTTGTAAATCTATCTAGTTTTTTCCATCGATAGATGAAGCGTTTCTCTTCATATGGTTGTAATCGTCGAATTTCAGCAACAATTATTCAGCAACAAATTATTTTGCTGTGTCACTGAGAAAATTCATCTTTTCTAAATTAGTGGCAAAAACGAAGAAAATGCGCTCGTATTTTTCCAGTTTCACCGTCAAAATCAGCGAACTAAAGTTGATATTCTGAATCATCATCAAAAACTCACCTGGACTCCCCTCCCTCCAGGTCTCTTTTTGATAAATTTAGCCTTTGTAATCAAGGATGTAGTTCTCATGAAAAATGTCTGTTAGCAAAACTATGTCATTCGACTCAGTTTTTGCTGCTAATTTAAGAAAATTAAGTTTCTCAGTAACAAAATAGCAAGAAAAAAATCTCAATGTAATTATCGCAGCTCTTGAACGAAACGTTTGTTGGAGCTCGGATCTGCAGGCTATTCCGACTTAGACTAGATCTAAGTAGTACATGAGTTTGTCCAAAATCTGTGATAGTCGGTGAACATCGTCAATCGTGGGTCTCGTACAATGACTTTTACGATCGTGTGTACAACACTTACTCTAATTGAATACAGACAATTTTGTAAGTGACCGATGGAGCTCAAATACTTCTACAACTTGTCTCCTATTTCTCAGACCATTAATTTTGTTCTTATAATATGCGTTAAAACTTATGGATTATTAGAAGTGCGCGGTACGAGCAAGACAAGTTGAAACTGGAGAAAAGAAGAGTGCAACTGTATATGAAAATAGGAAGCCTTTTTGCACTAACTATGAAACTAACTAGTCTTTTTACACTAACTATTTTAGTAATGTGAACCAAACTTTGCACCTTAGGTTACATTCCGGCCTACGCTGGAAAAATTTTGGAATTCGTAAGTGAATTTTTTGGGAAATGTAGAACTAGGAAGGAGAAAACGCGCGAGCAATTAGTTTGGTAGTTTTGAGCCTATTGGTTAATGACCTATTCACACTGATTTTATTTTATTTGTTTATCTAGTACAAATATGTGCTAAACGACTAAGTATAAATGTTTTAAAAGAAATTTTGGTTCAAATCCCTGAAGGAAAACTACATGAGATGGTCAAGAATTGTGATAAATTTGGTAATAATCCGTTGCATTCAATTGGTCGAGCCAATAATAGTCACATACATTCGCCTGGTATTGAAAAAAAAGAAGTAGAAGTATGTCAATTATTATTAAATACATTCATGGGTAAGCAACAATCATCTACAATAGAGTCAGAAAGAGATACCGGTCCAGCATTTTTTAAACATTCAATTGAAATGATAACGAAAAGAAATAACGATTATCGAACACCATTACATGAAGCATGTTTAAGAGGAAAAGTGGCATTTATACAATATTTGTTAGAAAAAATTATAACCAAAGAGCGACACAGTTTATTAGAAGTTGTTGATGATGAATTGAAAACCGCCTTACATATTGCTGCTGATGTTGGTGAGTTTAATCGCGCACTTAACAGAGACGAATTTCTGAAAGTATTAATTGAAAGCACTATTTATAATGTCAACTGGAACGTCTTACTAAGATGTTTTTCAGAGGAAAATTTTCGCACAGAAATTAACCTAGACTCCCTCTTCTCCAGTCTATCTTAAAAATCTCTCTCCAGTCTTATTATTTCAAGCAAGAAGGATCAAACGCAAATCTTAAAAATCCCGAAGAAAGAGCAGTAGAAAAATTTCGTTGAAGACTAGTAAAATATTTTTTGTGTCCGACTTTTTTTTTCGAACAATAATCCACAGTAAAAGTTTCACGCCTATTTATTATGTTCTTATGTACCTAGAGACAATTTAGTTTCTGCTGAGTTTATACATGTTGCATGGTGAAGGCTATAAAAGTAAAGAAACGAAGCGTGTTTTATAGAGAATAAATTGCACGTTAATGTACTGCATCATTTCTTCAGTCAGCTTGAGATATTTACTTATAAATAGTTCAATATCATCTAGCGATGCGAGATGGATAGTTTTTTGGATTAGTTTTTCGCCGGTCAACAAGAAAAGACTACAAAGTAAACATTGCACTTAAATCAAAAACGTGGAAGTGTTATATGTCGGTGAAAACTTGTTTGTTAGCTAAAAAAACTTTTCCAAATAGGGAACTCAATATGATCTACAAGCTGGTCGCCATAGAATATGTCCAACTGAAAGTTCATACTGTGTTTCTACAGGTCCATTCAAGGAAGGCCTACAAGCCAGAACGGATATCAGATTCGAGATCAGCACCAAACACTGGCATAATAAAATATTGTTTACAACATATTGTTGCATAACAATATTATGTTTAATGAAAAAAGCTTTTCATCACCTGGGAAGGTTCTCTCGTTAGTCTTCAGCGAAAAGGTTCTAAGTCTTATTTATAAATTTCACATTTGTAGGTAACTTCGAGAGACAAATCGGGTTTCATAAAAAATATAGACGCAAGGTTTCAGTTGAAATCTTGGATCATCATCAGGCATATGACGATCATGCACATGTAGAGTTTATTTTTTCCTTCTTACAATAATATTACTCATTCATAATCAGTTACAAAGTGCTCAAACACTCTGTTATAGTCTAGAACTAAAATAAATACATTCAGAAACTCCACATAGCCTTATTCGCTAACTGTACGACTTCCGGACAATTGAGTTTTAGATTAAATTTGAATCTATTCCTGTTTAGGTCAAGTTGAAATTGTCAAACTGTTAATTGAATATGGTGCAAATATTGAAGCACGAGATATGAATGATTCAACGCCATTACACGGAGCTTGTTCTAGAAATCAATATCGTTGTGCTAAATTATTAATTAAAAATTATGCGCCATTAGATGATATTGATGAAAAAGGTTGTACACCACTTCATCTGGCAAGTATGAATGGTCATCGAAAAATTGTGAAACTTCTACTTGAAAGTAAGGCTAATGTAACAATTCAAAATACAAAAGAATTGAACAGTTTAGAAGTAGCCATACTGAATGATCAACAATTTGTTGTACAAGAATTTATTTCACATACATCATGGATGAAATCAATGAAAAATGCTCAATTGAAAACATTTGTCACCGATCATGAACCAGAAATAGATACACCATTGCGAAAATTAATTCGTTTAATGCCAGCAAAAGCTGAAGAAGTTTTGAAACGTTGTATAACAAGATTGGGAAATGAAGAAACAAGAGATTATACAGTACGTTACAATTATGAATTATTGGAAGATCAATTTGCCGGTTGGGTACCAGGTAGGATATAGATGTATATCAAGTCCTTTTGTCTATATCATTGAACTTTTTAGTCTTTGTAGTTAAACAGTAAAAACGAACTCGAAATTTTCTTTTTATTGAAATTCAACTAATATCCACTGTATAGACTCTGAAAAAACTTTGGTAATGAAACTTCTAACATCATATTTATACATGCATTCTTATTTAGGTAATGAGAAGAAAAAAGGTAGTTCTGCTGAAAAACGACCATCAAAAAGTTGGCATTTGTGGATTAATAATTGTCTAATGAGACGGCCTAATTCCATTTCGGTTGAACAATCAGCTGATCAACAATCGACAACATCATTATTGTCATCACATGAACACAAACGTAACGTACTACAACATAATCATCCATTATATATAATGGCTATTAATGAACGTGAAGATTTAATTAAAAATGAATTAGTTGATCGTTTAATACAACGTAAATGGTCACAATTTACGCGTTTGGTATTCATAATAACATTAACATTTTATTTATGGTTTTTGGCTTGTTTTACGGCCACAATATTAAATGTAAAACATTCCCAATACTATTATTTGCTGTTCAATTATAACGTAACTGATACAACATGTCAAACTATAGCGAATTTATTACAAAATTCACAACAAAATCCGTCTGGTGATGGTTTAAAACAGCCATCAGATTATGTTTTAAAATATATGTTATTAGGTCTGATTGCATTTCATCTATTCAAATTTCTCTATTTAATTATTCAACATTGGCAATATGTACTTTCTAAAAGCAATCTTTTAGAATTAACATCATTAGCTTTGTGTTTGTACTATTCACAAGATTGGTATTCATGGCAAATGAGTGTTAAACTAAGATGTCCAGAGCAATGGTCAGTTGGTTCAATAGGTAGGCAAAGATAAGTTTCAAACAAGTAGGAACTAATGAGCTTATTTTCAGAGCCCAGTAAAACTTCGATTATCTGACTCTTACGCAGATGAGTTTTTTTTCAAACTCACTCTGACACTACTCCCAGACATCAAATCTCAATTCGGAAGAGTAGTGCACCTAAAACTTTAGGTATATAAAATAAATTTTCAATTGTCAATATAAAATGAATTTCAACCACTTAAATGAAATGTGTAAGAATGATTCTCAAAAGTGCTATTAAGAGCACTCCTTCCTCGCGCTTTGCTGATCAAATTTTCGATTTTGAGCTAACTATACCAGATTTTGAAATTCATACCAGAGATAGAACATCCAAAGAGAAAATCGATGGATCTTTGCTCAGAATTTTCTCACATGTCCTTCTATGGATTTTCGGGAAAACTCTAATCTTCATCCAGTCACATTACTACTCCCGGAAATAATGATCCAATCGAACTGAAAATTTTACCACAGATACAGACCCTATCTCAGGTTTTTTCTTTTCTAAAAATATGCTTTCTTTCTCAAGATATTCGAAAAATACAAAAATCTTGTACAAAAAAACAGTTTTATTATTTTGAAAACCTTCTCATGTCGAAAGTTGCAATCAAAAACGCTTAAAAGAAACGAATCTCACATAGGGTCTAAAGTATCTTTGGTAAACATTTCAGCTCGATCGGGCCATTTTATCGAGGAATCGCAATGTGACTGGATTGAAGTGACTATCGGAAAATGCATAGGGAGCAAAAAACACATATTGTACTTGCGTCTCTGTTTCTTAGAGTATTTACGGTGATGCTTATATTTCCACGAAAACTTTTCAGAAAATTCTGGAAGACGTCTTATTTTGAAGCGTGCACTTTCTTCTTTTATACTATTTATAAGAAAAAGTTTTGGATATATAGGAAAGGAGAAAAAAAATTACTAAGCTAAAAAATTGTGATCTTGTAGACTTTGAAAGAAAAACTTAAAAAGTACATATTTTCAAGGAAGGGCTTGGATAGCTCGAAGTGATCTCGTGTTATAGCCCAGGCTTTCCTCTACATTAGACTATGTCCAGCTCAAAATGAAAAGTTTTTTAAAAAATGAGAGCAAGATACCCTGAGGGGGAAGGAATAGGAACACAGTAATCAAAATACTAAAGCATGCCATCGGTCGTTTAAACTAAAGTTCTCAACGAGAAAAACGTTTCGAGATGTAAAAGTAACTTGATACACTCAATTATGAACGGAGAATTGAATGAGAATAATTTCAGACCATATTTATATTATTCACATTTTGGATTTCTACTGTAGTTATTTGGTCTGCTAAATGAGTCCTGCATTTTTTTTGCATTATACCTGCCGAAAGTGCTTCTTATAGATGATCTGAGGCCAAAATGACGCTCCTTGCGGTTTCACAGTGGGCATTTTCCCATAGAGCAGGCGGACATCTGATTTTTTGAGTTAGAAAATGATTATTTTAGCATAATATGGTCTTACTATGTGTTAGATATTAGTAGAAGTAAAAAAGGTCGAATTCGAAAAAAACATTTTTTCGACAAAAAGTTCCTTAGAAAAAGATCCTTGCCATAAATTTTTGTCAAAAAATGTTTTATTTGTAAAACTAACAAACTATACATCATTCGACGTAGTTTTTCACGGGGATTCCGAATATGACTTTATGTTGCGGGAAAAGTGCTCTTATGGGGGAGAAAAACGCGAATTATCTCGAAAACCCTATGGGTATTTGTAAAATCAATAACTCGACTTAGAAAAAAAGACGAGAAAAGACGAGATCATCATAAATACACGATAGGCTGAGGAACATTTTCATGTAATTAGAAGATCTGTTCAGGCTTAGCGCTTTTTAGCGCTGTCACTGCACTGAGGTTGTCTCATGTCGGGCCGTAGTAATCTAGACTACTAGACCTTTTTTCGTTTCGTACAAGATGCAAAAGGAGTACCTTCTATTATTAGGAGATGCAATAGGTTGTGCTGATTCCGAATATCGCTCTATGGCCAGCCATCTCTGCTACCGGAGTGAAATTCCGTAACGATTTTTTTGCATTTTGTTTTTCTTATAATGTTTGAGTAACGAGACGCCTAGAGATCTAGAATATCACAGATTAAAGAGAAAAGTGTGCTAAAGATTCTGAGATGTTCCTACAGTCTACACATTCTTTTATTCAGAAACTATGAGAAAAATACCAACACCTACTTTTTCGGTTGAGTTTTGGAAAGTAGGTGTTTGTATTTTTCTCATAGTTATAAAATGCCAGAGCTATATGTACTTTGGATAAGGTAATATTGCATATAGAAATAAGAATCTTTGCAGATGTATCATATTTGACGGTGTTTTTTGTGAATGTTCGTAAGTTAACTTATTCATCGAAGGAGTTCATTACTAGTCGATCATTATATACCATTCGACAGCGCTTTTCAAGGACTACATTTACTACTGTTCGAATTCAAAAAAGCTCACTTGTCGATTTTTGCTCAAATTTCCGCCTGAATGCCTACTGTGTGTTTTAGGTATATTACTATCATGGTTAACATTAATAACATATATTCAATTTACTCCCACACACGGTTTATTTATTGCGATGTTAGAAATAATAATATCGAATTTTCTATGGTTTTTTCCCATTCTGTTATTATTAGTTGTATCATTTGGCTTTTCCTACTACATGCTATTACAGAATCAACTTATATTCATAACACCGATCGAATCGATAATTCGTTCTTATATGATGCTAAACGATGTTGGTTATGAATCTCATATGTACACAGATTCGACTGGTCTACCTATCTATCGTCCAATTACTTTCATTATATATATTATTTACGCATCATTAATGTTTATATTGATAAATAATCTGTTGATAGGTTTTGCTGTTGGTGAAATTGGACCAATGATGAGTCGGGCTAAATTTAAACGTAGTCAATTAAGAATTATATTGATAAGTGAATACGAAGGTATTATGCCAATGAAATTATTACAATATTTTGCAAAAAAAAATAAAAATGAAGTTGTACTACCACATAAAACAAAATGGTATAACAAACCATTTCATGCAATGAAACGATTTTTTGAAGGTAATAAAAAAAAAGAATTATGCGACGAACAAACAACAGATGACTCTAATCGAGAACAATTAGATAATATTGCGCTTGATCAAGAAAAAACCAAAGAAGATATTCAAAAAATACAAAATGATATTAAAGATATACAAGTATATATGAAACAAATGAATGAACAAATATGCTCGAAATTTGATAAATTAATTAAAGAAAAGATGTCGTAATTAAGCATTTGATTCGTAATACGTCAGATACAGTTTAAGTGACAAACATGGAAAATCAACTAGAGTTTACAACTGGTCTTGTCGGATCGTATAAATGTTACGCAGAATAAAGAACCAGGCCTACAAATAATAAATACCAAATTTAAAAAAACAAAAGAACTCTTGCAAAGAACTCTTTTTTCATGGATAACTATCGTTCCAGGATTGTCAGAAAATCTCATACATGAAAAATAACTGATCACAAAATTCGCCTTAGAAAGATCAAGGCTACAATTTTCAACGTAACTTTTTTCTTCCAAGATCTGTTATTTTAAGTTAAGTGCAGTTTGACACGTCGATTACGTATATGACGACGTGTCGATTACGATTCTACATACAGCTTAATCACGGCCTTTGCGCAACTTTTTCAGAATCCTATTGTAATTTCCAAAAGTCCTGTTCTTTCTTTCAGGTAAAATTTATCTTTGTGAGTTTACAAGTAAGGTGCCGCTAATTCAAAAATCAAGCACTCTTCATTTTTCCTTGAAAGACACATCATCCGATGCAGAATTTTGTGCTGATTACGAATATCACCTTTTTAGTTCGATTTGTTTGAGTTTTGTG